TCGAGCTAGTGCCACGTAGGCTAAAAAGGGGTAGAAAATTACATATAAAATAAGTTCAGGGGGTAATAGGACCTTAGTATAGTATAAGTGTGTCTCTGGAATTTCGGGCATAGGTTGAGGGGGTACTTGGATATTTTTCCTAAAATTATCGATAAATAGTTATATGATCATTTATGAAATTTATCTGAAATACATAGTTATATGATCATTTATGAAATTTATCTGAAACACAGGATATGTTCATCGGTGGAACGGACACAACATCAATTTTATTGGAATGGGCCATGGCTGAATTATTGAAGAATCCAAATATGATGAAAAAAGCCCAAGTTGAAGTTAGAGAGGCTTTAAAAGGGAAAAAAAAAGTGGATCATATTGATGTACAAAATTTGAAATACTTGAAATTGATTGTGAAAGAAACTCTAAGACTTCATCCACCAGGTCCCTTAGCTTCACCAAGAGAATCAATAGAAGAAATCGCGATTAATGGGTATGTTATACCTAATAAAACGATAGCCTTGATGAATTTGTATGCAATGGGAAGAGATCCTGAATATTGGCACGATCCAGAGAAATTCATGCCAGATCGATTCAATAATTATGTCGATAACGATGTTGATGATGTTAAAATGATCAAAGGATCATCCAATGTTCCTATGGAGTTTTTGGCATTTGGATTTGGAAAAAGGGTTTGTCCAGGAATGTTATTTGCTACGGCAAGTAGTGAACTCACATTGGCTAGATTACTTTATCATTTCGATTGGACACTTCCTAATGGTATGAATCCACAAGATTTAGATATGACTGAAAGTTTTGGTGCTGCTGCTACAATGAAGAACAACTTGTATTTGGTGGCTACACCATATGACTAACAAGATTTAGTCTGTCTCGATTTATATGACATCTTTTGAATTTTGAAAGTTAAACTATTCTGTTATATGTCCAAATTGATGGTCAAAATTAAAAAGTTTGACTTTTGAATTTTGCATCATGTCATAAAAAATGAGACAGAGGAAATAATAAGTGGACTATTTAGTGCTTGGTAATAAAGAAAAGTCTTATTTTTTCTATTTCAATTCACTAAATGAATTGCTTTTTTTCTTTTTCTTCCCCTTTCTTTTCTTGTATTCCTCATGTATTGTTCTGATTGATAATAAAGGGGTATTTTGAACACCCGTGTAGTTAAAGTACTAAATAAGTTTTGCTGCCAAGTTTCGGAGATTTTTTTTAATGTAATTTCTCTATATTTTTTTTATTATTTGACTATAAAATGTTTCTAAATGCATTAAGTGAATTAATTCAAGGAGCATCAACACCTTCTATATCACCTATATGGCAAAGGGATATCCTAAGTGCTAGATCATCACCATGCATTACATGTACTCACAATGAAGTTGATGAGCAAATTGCATCAAAAATTGCATGGGAATCAATTGAAGACAAGTTGATACAACAATCATCTTTCTTTGGAAATAAGGAGATGGAACTCATTAAAAATCATCTTCCTCCAAAATTATGGATGTACAAAATTCGAGTTATTAGTGGCATTTTTATGGAAATGTCGTACAATTGTTCTTGATTTGCATCCTGAAGAAATTGTTCATTTGACATATCTGATTAATATACGCAGAAAGTCATTCAACTTTGAACTTCCATCTAGATATTATGGGAATGCATTTATTACTCCAGCTGCGTTATCGAAAGCAGGATTATTATGTTCAAATCCATCGACATATATATGCAGTTGAAATGATCAAGAAACTTAAAGATCATATGAATGAAGATTACATTGAATCAGCAACAGATTTAATTGTAATTAAAGGGAGACCGAGTTATCAAAATCATGGAATTTCATTATTTCAGATAATAGGTCTGGTGAGGTTATATTTGGTGAGGTTCCTAAAGTTGTATCTTTAATTAGTTTTGGTGTGCCTATTAAAAATGAAAATGGAGAAAAGGGTATTTTGATAGCTATAAGTTTGCCTCCTCTTTGCTATGAAAAAATTTCAAGGAGTTAACATAATTTCAAATTTATAAATCAATGTATTTGTTTTATATTCGATTGGAGATGAAATTTAAGTTCGATATCATTTAGTTTGTTAATAGTTAAAACTTTTTCTTGATATTTCACTTAGGTGGATGTTATGTGACATGCCATCAATATGTTACCTTTTGTGTTAGTTAAAAACATAAGCGTAATATTTATGAAAATCGCTTATACTTTCTTATGGAAAAAAATTTATTTATATCGAGTGTTTAAATCAAAGCGATGCAATTTTCATTCTTATGTGATTTAATGAAGCAAAATGAATTATAAATTCAAACACATGAAATGTATATATTGACTTGATATAAATAGGTGATGCCGAATAAGTTTTACCCCTTTCTTTTTTATCTTTTGGTTTAACAACCAATCCACATTGTCAAAAGATTGATGTTGAAGGGTTAAGTAAAGAAAAAACTTTTTAAATCAATGATTTTCATTTTTAGTGAAAGAAAGAGATATAAAAGTTGTCTGAAAAAGACATTTGGAGTGTGTTTGTTTAGAGCCATACATATGTAGTCCCCTCATTCATTTTTCGATTTCTGAACACGAAATTTAAGAGAAAAAGAAATAATTTAAAATAAGTTAATAATATTTGTGTGAATTGTAAATTATTTTATCAAGGATTAAAATGAGAAGTAATTTAAAATTAAAAAACTTTTTTTCTAAATAAACATGTATAACCGATTATCTTATAACATTTATATCATGCCCTTTCTCACTTAGTCCCTTTGTTTCTGAAGTTCTTAATGTGTCTGGAATGTATATTGGATCCAAATATATATATATCCGGTGTGAGTCGTACACAGACTTTCTCCCTCACTTTCCTCTTATCTTAATCGCCTCTTTCTCTCTCTATGATTATGTATCATATAATGTATTTGATAGTTAAAATGCATGTATGAAATTATTTATTAGTGAGATAATATGTATATATATTATCAAACTATTGGGAGAATAATAAATATGGAAGGAATGTTTATATAAATCAAATAATTTTTGCATAAAACTATCCAAGCCATTGAGTTTCAAAGAGAGAGAGAGAGAAATGTTTTCTGAAAAAAGACATTTGAAGAAGAGCTAAAGAAAATTAATAATGTGTGTTTAAATTAGAGCCATATGTGTCGATTAATCAGCAACAACGTAGTACAAGACAGGGATAATAACCCTAACTATTTTAATATTGATTAAAAAAAAAAGTAAATATGACACGTAAATTTGATTTTAAAAAATCATTAATTTTCATTTAGTGAAAGAAAAGAGATAAGTTTTCTGAAAAAGACATTTGGAGTATGTTTGTTTAGAGCCACGTATATATATATATATATATGTCCCCTCGGAAATAATTCTAAAATTTGATAAAGTTATAAATATTCGTGTGAGTTATGAATTATTTTATTAAGGATTAAAATGAGAAATAATTTAAAAGTGAAACTTTTTTTTTCTAAATAAATATATATAGTCGTTTTAAGATTGATTAAAAGAAAAGTATGATACATAAATTGAGAATAAAAAATGTAATATTATGGGCTAAATTGAGATTAAACCAACTCTTATCTCAATCGCGTCTCTCACTATGATGTTGTATTGGAAATGTATTTGATAGTTAAAATACATGTATCTACGTACATCTGAATCGTAGTCTTGTATAAAATTTTTAATTAGTAAGATAATATATAAATATTTTTAAACTATAGGGAGAATAATAAACATGGAAGGAATTAATGTTTGTATAACCAAACAACTTTTTGCATAAAACTATCCAAATCATTGAGTTTCAAAGAGAATGAAAGAAAAATGTTTTTTAAATAAAAAACATTTGAAGTGAGGCTAAAGAAAATTAATAATGTGTGTTTAATTAGAGCCATACACATATATGGTAGTCGTACAAGAGAGGGACATAAGCCTAACATCTTGTGAATTATATGGAGGATCGATGAACATGCTCATCCTTTTCCAAACATGAAGTATAAAAAACAAAAACTTAATTATTTTACAAATTTTAAAATATGTCATATATATTTAAGTAAGTGGAAAATGATTTTATAAAGATTAAAATAAGAAAGTAATTTGAAGTTGAAATTGTTTCTAAATAATAAGGATGTTTGTATAACTATATTAAGATTAATTAAAAAGAAAAATACAACACGTACTTGATTAAAAAAATATAACAATGCAGGCTAAACTCAAGTTGAATCAAAACCAAAGTAAATTTTCTATTATTGGAACTAAATCTTAGTGTAGGGGTGTCATTGAGATGATTTGACCTGTTATGTTATAAAATTTACTATCATACTAATTTTTCAATTATTATATTTTTGGTTAGATTTTTTTATAACGCTCTATCATCTCGATTTCTCTTTGTTAGTTGTATCAATGCGGTTCGATTAATTTTTTTTATATATATATTTGTAAATTATCATGCTAAAATCACAAGTAAAAAATAGGTTATCATAGTTATTATGGTTGGGTGGTGTTTGATGACTTTCAACAACTATCGTAAAAATCACTTGTACTTTTTTTTTTATCTTTTGGGTTTAACAACCAACTCCACAACTTAAGCCAATGGTAGAGTTCAACTTTTCCATCACCGCATATTTATGTTGCATTACATTTTTTCTTGACTATATAAATCTAAATAATTATATTTGTCAAATGCTTACAATTGAATCCATATGGCTCACACTATGCCAATTTCAATAACATATGAAGAAACAAAATTAGTAGTGCCAACAATAACAACACCTCATGAGACAAAATATCTTTCTGAAATAGATGATCAAGGGAGTACACGTTTTCACAGTCACTTATTAATATTTTACAAATATAATTCTTTAATGGAAGGTAAAGATCCAGCAAAAATTATTAAAGATGGATTATCTAAAACACTTGTGTTTTATTATCCATTAGCTGGTAGACTCATTGAAGGGCCTAATAAAAAGCTTATGGTAAATTGCAATGGTGAAGGAGTCTTGTTTATTGAAGGTAATGCTAATGTGGAGCTTGAAAAATTAGGTGAATCTATTAAACCACCATGTCCATATTTGGATTTACTACTTCATAATGTTCCTGGTTCTGATGGAATTATTGGTTCTCCTCTTCTTTTAGTTCAGGTAAACAATCAACTTGAATTATATCTATTGTCTTTTTTCTTTCGAAACTTCTGATAATTATGTTGGGTATTATTTACCGTGAATTTTATACCATAAATAAATTTTTCTTTATATTTGGCTAATCTTTTTCTTGTAAAAACAGGTCTATGACTCTATAAATAGAAATACTTCCTTCTAACTTAATCAGCATTCTCAATATAGTCCTAGGGTTTTGAGTATCAATCGTCTTTTTTCTTTCGAAACTTCTGTTATAGCGGGTATTATTTGCACTAATTTTTTTTTACCATAAATAGGTTTTTTCTTTTTTCTAAAAGGAAAACATAAAATCTTCATATTTCGGTAATCTTTTTCTTGTAGGACTCTATAAATAGAAAAACTTCCTTCTAACTTAACCGGCATTCACAATACAGTCCTAGACTTTCGAGAGTTTCGGTTATGGAGGAGAATTTGTGAACTTACTTGTATCAAGAGTGAATTGGTTGAGACTCTCGTACCTATAGTGGATTCATCATCTCCTTTGTAGGACATAAATCGATTGATCAAACCACGTTAATCTTTGTGTTTTTTGATATATTTCTTAATTGTATATTTTTACGCATGATTTTTCGAGATTTGTTTTGCGCATATATAATTTCTTTTTTTTTTCAATATAATTGACCTTCATTTATGTGTAGGTGACTCGTTTTAGTTGTGGTGGATTTGCTATTGGATTTAGAGTTAATCACACAATGATGGATGCTTATGGCTTCAAAATGTTTCTACATGCATTAAGTGAATTAATTCAAGGAGCTTCAACACCTTCTATATTACCTATATGGCAAAGGCATCTCTTAAGTGTTACATCACTATCACCAAATATTACATGTACTCACAATGAATTTGATGAAGAAACTCCATCAAAAATTGCATGGGAATCAATCGAAGACGAGTTGATACAACAATCATTTTTCTTTGGAAATAAGGAGATTGAAGCTATTAAAAATCAACTTTCTCCATATTGTGGAAGTACAAAATTCGAGTTATTAGTAGCATTTTTATGGAAATGTCGTACTATTGCTCTCGATTTGCACCCTGAAGAAATTGTTCGTTTGACGTTCTTCGTTAGTATACGTGGAAAATTACAAAAATATAAATTACCATCCGGATATTATGGTAACGCGTTTATTTCGCCAGCTACGATATCAAAAGCAGGATTATTATGTTCAAATTCATTGACATATGCAGTTGAATTGGTGAAGAAACTTAAATATGATATGAATGAAGAGTACATAAAATCATTGACAAATTTAATGGTGATTAAAGGAAGACCTAAGTTATCAAAATCATGGAATTTTATTGTGTCAGATAATAGATTTGTTGGATTTGATGAAATTGATTTTGGATGGGGAAAACCTATATTTGGAGGGGTTTCAGAAAAAATATCTTTAATTAGTATTGGTATTCCTATTAATAATGAAAAGGGAGAAAAAGGTATTTTAGTAGCAATAAGTTTGCCTCCTTTGGCTATGGAAAAATTTCAAAAAATTGTGTATAATATGAATTTTAAAAATGTAGGAACCAACATAATTTCAAAGATGTAGATGAATTTTGAATTCATCAATGATTAAATCAAAATTATATATGGAGATGGTACTATATGTTCGATTATTTTTCTATTAGAATGTACTTGTCCATCATGTGATTACGTTTTTGATAGTTTTTGATAGTGTATAAAATTTTAAAAAGAAATCAATAATGTGAATTCGAAATCATACGCAACCTTGTCATATCAGACAATGGTTATTTACTTATTATTGTGTTGTTAATTTAAATATAATTCTTTAATAAAAGGTAAAGATCCTTCAAAGATCATACACGCAACCTTGTGATATCAGACACTTGTGTTTTATTAACCATTAGCCATGAAAAAATTTCAAGAAGTTGTCTATGAAATGACTTTAGAAAATAAGGAAGAAGTCAACATAATTTAAAGGATGTAAAAGTGAAATAAATTAAAATTATGGAGCTTGTAATATTTCATCATTTTCTTATTAAAAAGTACTTGTAAATGATGTATGATATTTAGAAATCTAATTATATGTTTTATGTTTGATTGAAAAGTATTTTTATTTTATTTTTTGAATTAAGAAATTTCGTTTATTTTATGTTATTAATTTAAAGTTTGATTTATTTATGCGATTTTTATTTGAGAAAAGGCTTATTTATGTCTTTTTAAAGTTCGATAGCATATTTTTAGTTTTTCCTCTTTAAAAATGATTTATTTAATTATGTGGCCAAACTATTATTGATCATGTGTAAAAAATAATTTTGCGAAATCGAAAGTACAATTTTTAGATAATAAATATTGATATGAGTGAACCTTTTTTAAAACGAAAATGACATAAACGAGTGATACTTTATACAAAATCATAATGAATCTTTTCTCAAAATAAGTTTCTATAAAAATAACTATTAATTAAATAATCATACGCAATATATTAACTCCTCTTCTACTATACACATAATAAAAGGTTTAGATAAAAGAGATATAGTATAAAAAAAAAGTTTAGATAAAGGATCAATGTACAGTATGAAATTAACATATACTCTTTCTCCGCATCAATTTATTTATCTTATTTTTTTTAAGTTAGCCTAAAAAAGAATATCTTTTTATTAATTTTTAATTTATATTTTTCATACGCAAGACTATAAAATTAAAGAATATTTGAACACTTATGTATTACGCAACTTTAACTTCAAGTCACAAAATGCAAAAAAAAAAAACCTTTTACTTATTTAAACTTAATATGAAATAAAAATCACAATAATTAATAAATTAAAACAAAAGAAGTACCTTTTAACTTACTGGTTATTGTGACTACTAGTCTAGAAACATTTAACTAGCAAGTAGATTCCAAGACGTTTTGTTTTTCCCTCTTTCATCATCAAGTGTACGTTTAATTCCTTCGATTCATTTAACTTGTCATGTTGTGTATTCAAGAATTTTAAATTTTTTACGAAATATTAAATTTAAGGTATAAATTTGATTGATTTGACATTTAAATTTTTAGATAAAAGAAAGATAATGTGAATTCTACGTTAATTGAGCAAAGATCATTATAAGAAACAATACGCAATCTTGCCATGGTAGACAACTAAAGAATCAATATACAATATGAACATAATCTTGTCTTACGTATCAATTTCTTTATTTTTTTACTTCCCTTTTTTTTTATAATTCTCTAATTTTAAATTTCTAGGTGACATACATTGTTGGAAAGTTGAAAAACCTATAAAAGAGTTTTGATGATTGATAAAGTGAATATGGTTCACCACTTGTTATCTTATGTATACTCTAACAACCTTTCAAGATTGCCCTACGGCCCGTACATTGTAAAAAAACCATCTAGGGATTCGTACTAAATTTCAGGTGCCCTAAACGGCTCGTTTAGGGTTTCGTGAAGGGTCCCTGGCCTGTTAACTCACTCTAGTCTCTCTCGAAGTCCTAGGTGTTACAATGACATAGCATGAAACTTTAAAATTTAGCAAATGTTGAGCAAAAAAAAGAGTATTGAAGCAAAACTTTAAAATTTTCAACCTATAAGATGAGAAATCTAAGCCTATAAAGAATAAAGCTAAAATGGTCAATTCATGAATGCATAGTTTGATAGTGAAAGATATATATATATAAGTTAATTTTTAATTTTTTGTATCTCCCATCTTTTAATACCTTATAAAATCAACATCAATAAAAATTTGTAAAAAATTTGAAGGTTGATATTTATTTGATACATTGGCCCTCTATAAATCTAATTCACAATACAAAATTGTATTACTCTCATCATACACTACTCTTTGTTGTATATCACATATGGCAAATATTCTACCAATTTCAATAAATTACCACAAGCCAAAACTAGTAGTTCCATCAAGTGTAACATCTCATGAGACAAAACGTCTTTCTGAAATAGATGATCAAGGGTTTATTCGACTCCAAATCCCCATACTAATGTTTTACAAATACAATTCTTCAATGAAAGGTAAAGATCTAGCAAAAATTATCAAAGATGGATTATCTAAAACACTTGTGTTTTACTATCCATTAGCTGGTAGACTCATTGAAGGGCCTAATAAAAAGCTTATGGTAAATTGCAATGGTGAAGGAGTCTTGTTTATCGAAGGTGATGCTAATATAGAGCTTGAAAAATTAGGTGAATCTATTAAGCCACCATGTCCATACTTGGATTTACTACTTCATAATGTTCATGGTTCTGATGGAATTATTGGTTCTCCTCTTTTGTTAATTCAGGTAAATATCCTCATCTTTTTTCTCTTTCAAAAGACAAGTGTTGTTGTAATATATATATCTGTACCATAAATACAATAAATTACAGTTGTAAATAAATAATTATTTAGGTGGAGACGCGGATATTTTGCTCTCTTTTAAGGAGATGCAAGCTCACTGCGATATAATCTACACCGATTCAGCAGTATCGCTCTTGACTTGTCTCCTCCAGAATACAACATCCCAACGATGTGTACAACTCAAGCAACGTCGGATTAATTGAAAAGTCAAAAGTTTCACGAAAAGAACGTCTTCCTTAAACATATACACAGTGAATATAGATAGTTGAATACTTCGGAATATTTTCTTTGTAGTCTCAATTCTCTCTTTCACTACACTAACCTCAATATAAATTTACATTAGGTCTCATCTTCTTGAGATACTTCACAAAGACAGAAACACCAATATTTTATAGCTGAAGAAATCTTCCATATAATTAAGGTGGAATGAGGGGTAGTAATGTCGATCGGTAGATAAATGTGATAGATATTACATGAGTTCCAAGAACAAATAGTCATCTTCTACCATACGTTATACCACTAACTGATGCACTTAATATTTTAATAATCAAATGAATATAGACCAAGCATTCTACCTTCTTTATTCAAGTTATATATTAATCATACTCTTTCTATAAATGGTTAAATTCTTAGACTAATATATATATATATATATACCTCTTTGAATAGGTGACTCGTTTTACTTGTGGTGGATTTGCTGTTGGATTTAGATTTAATCACACAATGATGGATGCTTATGGCTTCAAAATGTTTCTAAATGCGTTAAGTGAATTAATTCAAGGAGCTTCAACACCTTCTATATTGCCTGTATGGGAAAGACATCTCCTAAGTGCTAGATCATCACCAAGTATTACATGTATTCATCATGAGTTTGATGAGGAAATTGAATCAAAAATTGCGTGGGAATCTATGGAAGATAAGTTGATACAACAATCATTTTTCTTTGGAAATGAGGAGATGGAAGTCATTAAAAATCAAGTTCCTCCAAATTATGAATGTACAAAATTCGAGTTATTAATGGCATTTTTATGGAAATGTCGTACCATTGCTCTTAATTTGCACTCTGATGAAATTGTTCGTTTGACATACGTTATTAATATACGTGGAAAAAAGTCACTCAACATTGAATTACCAATTGGTTATTATGGGAATGCGTTTATTACTCCAGTTGTTGTATCAAAAGCAGGTTTGTTATGTTCAAATCCAGTGACATATGCAGTTGAATTGATCAAGAAAGTTAAAGATCATATAAATGAAGAATACATCAAATCATTGATAGATTTAATGGTTACTAAAGGGAGACCAGAGTTAACAAAATCTTGGAATTTTTTGGTCTCAGATAATAGATATATTGGATTTGATGAATTTGATTTTGGATGGGGAAACCCCATTTTTGGAGGGATCTTAAAGGCTATATCTTTCACTAGTTTTGGTGTTTCTGTTAAAAATGACAAAGGAGAAAAAGGTGTTTTGATAGCTATAAGTTTACCTCCATTGGCCATGAAAAAACTTCAAGATATCTACAACATGACTTTCAGAGTCATAATTTCAAATATATAAGGCTTTTTCCTATTTGAAAGTACTTGTATTTTAGTATTTTGTTTCAATTTATGTGACAGTGTTTGAAAAAATAAACGACTTGTTTGTATAAATAATGGTGACTTGGTTTTATGTATAAATCAACTGAATTCCATTTACAATTTACATAAATTGGACACACATATTTGGATAAGTACAAGGAAAAAAAGTTTTGAAAGTAAATAAAGATCCATCTTCATTATCAAGCAAAGATTCTATGATGATTTAAGATTCCACATTGTTGATTTCTCCTGAAAATAGAAACAAGAATGCAAAACAAGTTAGTGAGAGCTCAGAAAACTCAAACATTTTGTATATCAATGTATTTAGTAAGATTCATGACTATAAACTAATAAAACGTTTGCGTTGGAGGAATCTTAGTCGCTTAGCTGGTTGGCTGGTTATCTGAACTATCACCTTGTTAGTGAGTTCGATTTCACCATCTTGTAATCAATCCCCTACCCCCAAAAAAAGATGGCAATTACCTAAAGAAAAGAACTGGGATAACATATTGAAGCTAGTTTCGAGATTGAATATCTAGAAAACAATACCGTGCATGCATTTGATGAAGTAGTCCAGTTCCGAGAAACATATTGCACTCTGAACCAAAGGCGATGGTTGTTGGAATGCAAAAAAAGAGAAACGGTGACGATCAGGATCATTTCTAGGCTTTGCAGTCTCAACCAGCCTCATAAATCCTTCTCTATCATAGCACGGAAATGCATTCTGACCAGCAACAGTGATCTTCTTATCCCATGCTGAATTTATTATCTGCAGAAACGTACAGAGAAGTGTTTAAGACGCAAGAAAAGAAAAATGAACCTGGGCTTCACTGCTCTCTGAATGATATGCCCTGAGGGGTGTATCTACGAATCAAACTTCTTCTGTTTGCCTCTTTAAGAGAGTTCTCGGAGGAATGTTAAGAAGCCAATAACCTGCCAACTCAAGCCTTCTGGATCTGCTAACGCGTCATCAGTTTCTGGAACCTGAAGCCCTGAGCTTACAAACTTTATTGTTACAGAGTGCTTTTTGAGAACTTCAAACACTGGAGAATAGCCATCCTGGTTCGTTGGGTTGTAATATCCAGCTGTGAGCTCTGCAGCATGGCTGCTCGTTCTGTACCACCAATAAATTGATGGAATCTGCAGAAAAAAGGGAAATCTAATTCACCAGGAAAAAGTATGCCTCTATCCAAGTTGTTCATTAGGATACTGTCAGTCTTTTAGACAAACATTTACACTTGTTCAACTACCTAGAACACCATCAATGTGCACCAGCTAAATCAATTTGAAAAGCAACAAATAACTCAAAGGAAATATGTTACAAGTGCAGTGTTTCATTATTTTATCATGCTCATTTTTCCTGAATGCTTTATTAACACTTCCTCTATTATCTGTCATGTCTTCTTTACTTCCGTATATTTTTTGATGTGTTACTTAAGCTAAGGGTCTTTTGGACACAGCATATCTACCTCCAAGAGGTAGGGGTAAGTCCGATACACTCTACCCTCCCAAGACCTGACCTGTGAGATTGCACTGGGTAGGTTGTTGTTCCCTCCCTCCCTCCCTCCCCCGAACTGAACCAGAAGGTATTATCAATTCCACTTCATGAAGGTCAATCCAATTTACATTTGACCAGAAACATCTTAAATATTTTGACCTACTATAATTTTGCTACTTTAGTATTATTATTGGTCAAAGTGATCCAAAGTAAAGAAAGGCTCTCGAGTTGGAAGCTAAGAGCATAAACTACCAATTTTGAACTATTGGAGATGAAAAGAATAGAAATTAATAAATAGAAAGAAAAAAAAAGAGCAAAACAGGAGTAAGAAAGTATAACGAGCTGATTTAGGCCCATATGTATACCTTCACGACAATTTGTATCCCCTCAAATGCAAGACTTGCCAGGGTGAGAACGTTATTAGCATGATCTATTAAGACCTGTCTATACCAATGGAGGAAAAATCTCCCATAGTAGCTATCATAATCACCTCGCTCACAGAAGAATCCAGTTTCATGTGGCTTAGCATTGTAAAAACCAGCATTATCAGGACCTTTGGCCCAGAAAGAGTGTCCCCTTGATGTTGCAGCTTTTCGAAGATTCTGCAGAGAATATTTATCATAGCACTGAAACAGAAAAAGTTGAAGCCAATTAGAGGGGGGGACAATCAAATAAAATAAAAAGGGTTTTAAATTCATGTTCAGGACACCATTATAATAGTTATCTAGTTTAAATTTTAAAGGGAAACACGCTATTAAATTATACAAAAACTATCCACTTAGGTTAAATGAAGAACCATTCAGTGTCAGACTCAGACTACGCATTTTCAAGTACACCAAAAATATCAAACAAACTCAGGGAACAAGATAAGACTGTTTTCTAAAACTATAGTTGGTGAAGACCAAGAAATATGACCAAATTACGTAACAAATCATATATCATAGCATTCCTATAACAGATACCTGAAACTCACCAATACCAGGATACCTCCATCCCATCCTTTCAGAAAAGGAAGGGTACTTTAGCTCCCCAGAAGCTCCAAGTCCAATTTCAACAGCAGAAATTAGACCATCAGTGAACAAGTCATCAAATTCAGTGCGGAAGCTTCTCATCAAATCAAAGTAAACCTGCAATTTTGGATTTCAAACTAGTGATCAAAATAACTAATATTTAGTTACAATTTAGACAATACCACTTTATTTCTTTTTAGTTTTCACTTTCGTCTCAGCATCAGCAAAGGCAATCAAGGGGAGAATACACTCTTTTATGTAGGAAATGATACATCAATCAGACTTCTATTAACAAAAGCCACATTACTTTTCACTTCTAAAACTAATCTTGTGGAAGTTCCTCCGAAATACAAATTATTCATTATCCAGTTGACAGTACAATTTACATGATTGGATGATATGTATAAGAGAGATATTCCCTTCAAAGAATCAGGGAATGTTAGCTTTGCTCATTTGAAAGGAATAAAAAGAAAAATTAATACCTCGATGGCAGTTCTACCTCTTAATACTCGTTCTTTGTCAATGCCCCAGGATAGGCATTCTGTGTTCCTTCTTCCTTGATGATCTGTGAAGAATATATCCTGATTGTCTTTGCCTATCTCCAGAACCCACTGAGGAAGGGATATGAACATGCCACCGGTATCACTTCCTCCATTTTCATGAAATGCCATTACAACCTTGTGGATAAAAGAAGAAATACCATATCTATTATTGGGAATCCGTCCATAAATAGCCTAAATAAGCTCAACAAATGTCCTAATGCAAACATAAAATGGGAACGTATATTAATGCACTTTTTTCTGGTTCAATTACTTTCTCCTCAAGGAGTGAGGGGAGTACTATTCCAGAATATAGATGTAATGAGGCATCGTACGAATGAATAGTTAGTAAGAAACTCAAATGACTAAAGCAGTAAGGCCAGGGTTCGTTCCACCAAAGGATGACTAGTATAAGACTCGTTAGAAATTTGACGAATCAATAAGAGTATAATATAAACAAAGAGTGGTTTAAAACCTGTAGTTTCATATTGAAATCACGGATTATTTTGAACAATTCTCTGTAGCCAGACCACTCATATTTTTGAGGCACCCAGCTTTCAACGATGCCCCACCAGCAATTTACCACAACACCATCAATTTTTAAAGACTTAAGCTGTTGCAACTCCTGTTTAACACCATCAGGATCCATCAACTGGCAGAAATTGTTGATTACACCACTCTGCTACAAACAAAGACATGATCTAAGTATGGGTAATTAGAATGAAAATGTAATGTGTATAGATATGATGTCAACTGTTCCATTATGTTTCATTTTGAATGGTGAACATGGAAACACAATTAAAAATGAGGGAGAAATCTGAAAGCTTGGCATCCTCCTTTTATGTGTAATGACGAACAAAAATACATTAAGGAAAAAGCTGCTTACAGAAAGCATAACAAAAACAGGGACGTATTGAGTCTCTGAAAAACTACCTCCATGCTCCCCACAGTGAAGTTCTTGCATGAGCTGCAACAAATAACTTGTTAGATATCCTCCGATGGGAGAATAAATGTATCTAGTATACCAATCTTCGCTTAAAAATAGCTTACAAATATACAAGCAACCATGTTTTATCAAGAACAACTTAGTCTGTTCTCTGCCAGCTGAAATAAAATCATACTACTAGACTTCTTCAAAAAAATAAAATCATACTACTAGGGTCTTTGAAGCATGAATAGTTGATCTCAAAATAAACTTCCAAAATGAATGTGAGATATTAAAAGAAGAAAGTCAACATTAAGATCTTTCACTGTTGTTGCGAGAAAAGTCAAAACCACTCAAATAAATATGTCGGAAGTGGAACAAGGAATTATTACGTCAACTATGTCATCTCAGACGCAGCTTAAGTAGCATGAACACAGACACAAAATATTTTGAGAATTTGCGGGCATGACTCAAACAAGAAAAGAAATTGCATCCTCATATATGACTTCATATGTTGCTTCAATCTACCAAAAAAAAATCAAAAAGAAAACATGAGCTGCAGATCCAACATCAATTTCACAGGTGCCTGCATTATATTTAAGTCAGTCAACATCACTTACAAATAGAGAGACAGAGAGAGAAAGAGGATGAAAAGAAAATGCATCTAAAATCCTCCCAAAGACAAACGAACATAAAACCTGATACTAAACAACTCAATATAGTAGTAACTCTCCACTACCCCTCTGATTTGGAAAATAGACAATATGTATCTTCATCAGTTCTCATTATGCTAAAACAATTCAATTAGTTGACTTAACAGTGCTACATTGCAGTCTAATGAAAGGATGGGAAAAGTTTAAGATGGTGGAATACATCATGATAAATAATAAACCCCAAAGCCACGTTGAACATTACTTTTAATATACAGCATCCTCAACTTATAGGAACTTGATTTACCTGGCCTGCCTCTAAACATCCTGCAGAATTCATTGGACTGGTACTTGTGAATTTATCAACCTTCGTGTCACTTTCTGTGACCACAATAGAATCAAAAGATGCTGGCGATAAACTCTCATTGATCCTAGTAACTGATGGCTGACAGTCCACAGATGCTCTGGTTGAGCA